AACACAGCTACCATTCCAGAATCCCATCTGTATCATCCATAACTGCCTACTAGTACTGCTTATGGCTCCATCAGATTTAACACCAGTCAGACTGCCAAGTGATTGATTTCCACAATGAAAGAACATCAGAAATGGTTTCAAGTGATTCGGAGCCCAGCACTTTCAGCAGCACAAAATTCACTTCATGTCAAACCACCTTCCAGTCCTTTGCACATAATGCAGCTTCTTCTCCAGTTCTCACTTGAGTTACAAACCAATTTCCCAACTCTGCAGAGGAAGCAATGGCTGCTCTGGCTGTAGTTAGCAGCAGGAAACAGGCCAACTCCGCAGTGCTCAACAAGGCACCTTGCCAAGACCGCTTGCCTCTGCTCCATCACTCCCAAAGCCACTGCTGCACACTGCAGGAAAAGCTCTTACAGTAAAGTGCACTGGTGGACTAAAAAGTGCCAGACTGCTGAAATGGCCAGAAGGAAGAGGAGTTGATTATTCCCCTTGTTGTGTGACAGAAGAAAGCCTTTAGATGACTTAAAGATTACTCAAAAACATTATAAGTTTTGATATTTTGATACAGTAACATTTTGTATCTGTAAAAGCCCTCTCTCACCATAGATCCAGCTGATCCATAAGTGTTTTTCTCACCATTTCATGAAAACTCAAGAATTTGTTATCCAACCTTATCTTTTTTCCCTCAGCTTTCTAAACTTCACAGAAATGAGATGAACTCAGTTCATTACAACATGGTGCTAATAACGCCACAGTTGTGAGTTTAATCCCTGTATGGGCTATTCACTTCAGAGTGGGACTCGATGATCCTTGTGGGTCCCTTCCAACTCAGAATATTCTGTCACATATTCTGTGAAATCTTTCAACTATCCTGATTCCTCCGTGTTTATTTCCACTGCTATCTAATCCAGTGTGAGAAAAAAAATCAAAGATCACAACCATTTGTTACTAGTTTAAACTAAATAAGAAATGAAGGACAGATTATACAAAACAAAATCACATTTTGCAGATGAAAGACCTAAACAAAATACTGACTTTTATCACAAATTTGAGGCCCACCCTGGAAACCCAGATGCCTAAACCAGCACACCAACCTTTACCAAATTAAAAGAATCTATCTTCTAAATACTTCCTCTGCAGAAAAAATGAAGGTAAGAGATCTGTTTCCAGATGTCAATTGACTTCAGAAGGGCAGCTGACCATGCACAAGGTATTACTGTTTTAGAATACATTACTACTATGCCCTTTCTATTCCTCACCTAGGCTGATCATTTGGTTTTGCCTTTCAAAAAAGTCTTAGGAAAAGTTCATACTTAGTTTTATACTTTAGTCACTTCATCATCTTTAATAGTTTAAAGTTCATTAATGCAACTTTCCTTAAAATTATTTTCCTTCACAGTATCAGAAAACATGGAGATTCCAAAAACCTACAATAAAGGTATTGGTAAGTTGCTGACCCAGTGAATTACAATTTCCGCTGTTCTGGTAGTAAAGAATTTTAATTAAGATATTATTGTTTATCATTTTAACAAGGGAAAGATACAAATTTCCGTAACACATTCTTCACCAAAAAACAATTTTTGAACTGTGTTGCCCTACAGGTAAGGTGTTCAGTCTGTGGCGAAAGGTACTGCTCAGTCCTAGACACAGGTAAGAAAGAATATTCAGAATGAGGAGACAACCCATGAGTGTGTTTTGTCTCTTGTCCACTAAGTCTCCCCTACAGGGTGGGACTTTCCTACAGGCTTGCTCCACCTCCACCCCACTCCATCCCACACTGTACACATTCCTGCTCACAAGCTTTAATTTGTCTAGCTTCAAATTCCTCAAGCCTGTTACATCACTGTGTTAGCAAACTCAGACAAATAGTTTAAAAGTCAACGTTTTGATGGGGCTCACTGCATGTCTGAAAATGTCCTGCAGAGTTTTGCTACGTTACTCGCTACGCATTTCAAATTAATACAGCAATTGCCAAACTAGATTAGACAACAAGCCACTAAGATTAGCTTGGATACAGCATGAAAGCAAGCCGAGAGACATGAAGTCCTTATACAGGGCAAACAGGAACAGCAGCACTGGAAGGGCACAAGAGAAACACAGCTGCTCCACTCCACAGTAGATCGTACTAAACTGGTTTAGCTTCAAGAATTTAGCTCTTAAACTTAGGCTACAGCTACATTGAGCCAGTTTAAATCAGACCAGCTGCAATGTCACCCTCCACTTTTTTCCATATATGCATTCCTGTCCATTGGACTGCCGTGATCTCAGAGGTCTTTTCCAACCTAATTGATTCTGTGATACTTTGATTCCTGTGCAACAATGTTGTGTATATCTGATTCAGTAACCAACTCAGCAGGTTCAATCCACTAAGGCAGCAGAAAAAATGCATCCTTTTATACAGCTCTTACTTCATCACAGCTTTTGCCTTGGAAATCTAAAGAGTACTATTGCCAGGGTGCAAAGAAAACAGGAATGCATGGCTTGGGTAAGCAGGCACTTACTTAAGTAAGGCATAAACAACAGTTATTTTCAAAAAATACTTGTTGAACTTAAATTATTTCCAAAACCGTTTAAGCATAAATCAGTTTAAGAATTTCTTTCTAGACTTCAAAGGAAAAAAATTAATTCTATATCCCTTAACTTCCATTTACAATGATTTTTGGACTCATGCTGTGTTGAGGAATCTAATGTGGATCTTGAGCTGCACGCTAGTTCATCACGTGGCCAGTCATACTGGGGCTATGTGGGGTGCTTGGGATACTGAGTCATCCTGAGTTTTAGCTGTGGAAGAAAAGGAATCAGCAGAGACTGCTGGGCCTACACTGCTGGTTTGCCTGGGAATCCAGCCATGCTTCCCCATCCAGCCCTGCCCCAAGGAGTTGCTGCTGCTGTGTCCACTGATTGAAACCCCCCGCTTCTGCCACAGCAGATCTCATCACTTCTGACTTACACAAATCTTGTAAATCTCAGCATTGCAAAAGCTTCCCATTTATGCCTTTGGCTCTAGGATTCAGTGATACATCAGTGTGCTCTACTGTCAAGGTGTACACCACATGACTGGTGGAAGGGACAATTTTCGATTCTGGTACGTATCCCACTGTTCTGCTCAGTTTTTCTAAGTTTAGAAGTGTCTTTTCCACTCTAGCCCCATGAGGTAAATAATTCCAAGCTTTTTAATGTCCTGTGCTGAATTTTTGGTCTCTGAAGCCTCAAGCCGTGTTCCTGACAGTCAGCAAATCCACAAGATTACTGACTATATCACCTACAGAAAAACAAAATTTCTATCTGCAATCTTTCAGCATTTTTTTCTCACTCCTTTTCAAACAGTTAGTTATTTACATCATTTTGAATGAACACCTTGTATGAGAATAACTTCATGGTTTTTGGATTTTCTTTCCAGTAATTTCCTTAATTTTTCTCGTTCTTGTACTGCATATTTCTCAGCATTTCCAACTTGCATACTTTTTTTCTTGCAACAGATACAGTATTAGGAGACATTAGGCAGAAGAGAGTAGAAAGGTCCACAATTTATGCTTGCCGTATTTAACTGCCCAAAAACAGACAGAAGACAGGAAAGAAGAAATCATCACCAAAAAATAAAAACAATACTGAAATGGTGAGGGACTAATTATGCATCTCAAAGACTGCAGCTCTGTCCAGGAAGGCTGCCTTTGCATAACACGCTGTCCAAAGGAAAGTACGCTCAGAGCAGTAAGATGTTCAGACTTTCTGACAAGAAGTTATCTTGATTTGAAGACATCCAACAGAATTTCAATCTGTGCTAAAAATCATAATCCTCAGATTAAAAGACAGAATAGGTAAATAAAGTTTTAGTAATACCAGAACAAAAGATACTGGTTTTCCCATGCATACGTTTTATGCTTGATGGAGGTAACAAATAGGGTAAAAATTCTGACTGAATCTTCCCCAGAGTCACTTTTATGATTCCACTCCTATGTAAGATTTCCCAATAAGGAACAAGGAATATGATCACATGGTAGCCTCTTCTTCAGAGCTGAGGGTACTTTTATATTTTGTTCCCACAGAGGATTACTCTAATACAACTTTCAGAAATGTAATTCTTCCCTGGATTCCCAGTGGTATTTTTTTTGACTGATATATGGGGAAGAGAAATGGAAGAGGTAAAGAAAGGCCAACATTGTAGTCTTCTTACTTTAGGAAATCCAAGCTAAAAAGTTGGAACAAAAATAAACTGTGTTACACAGCTTTGACATTGGTGGTATTAATATTCTTCCTATCATATAAGCTTGCTATTTACGTTTTTACTCAACATTTCTGACACAATGTCTTGCTTTTCCCTTTTAATCACCACAGGGAAAAAGAAACTTAATAGGAGAACAAAACATGAATCTTACCATTTAGTTTTAAACACTGTAAACTGTAGTAATAGTTCAAATTATTCGGATGTACATACTTTGTTTTTCACCACCGTTCTCTTTTAGCACATATGTAACTCCACATGCGTACAGCAGCACGCTTTAGTTATATCACATTATAATCTATACCACATTATAACAATTTGTACTGTTCATTGAAAATTCCTTTTAGACTATTTAAAATGTGTTTTCTATTCTGGAGTTAGAACACAAACAAAAGAAAAAATTCCCCCTAAAACTCTTAAATGTGACCCATAAACTTCAATTATCTAAGTAAAAATTAAGCTCCAAGATTTCTTATTAATTCAGAAGTCCTGTAGTCCTTATCCTGAACTCAACAAAACGAAACAACCCTCCTCTCTTTTCTGCAGAAGGAAGGCAAAAATGGTTCTACTACAAATTAGCAAATTTAACAGTTATATTCAATTAACATAATAAATGCTAAAAAACATGGTATGACATACATCTACATGATTTAGATGATGAATGACAGGTAGTCTGGCACACATGGAATTCATTATTAAAGAGTACAGATGTTCCATTTTATAATCTTTTTCGAAGTACCCTTTCAGCACATTCCCAGCCTCAGCTCATTCTCACCAAGATTTCCATCCTCAATGGTCAGCACCACTTCATCCATCACCAAGGCCCGGAAATCCAGTTCCTCTTCACAGCATTTGGCCTTCAGTGCTCTCAGGATCTCCTGCTGAGGGTAATCTTCTCTGATGCGACGGTCTGTTAAGAACCACAGCCTGGGAGCAACTGAACTGCACATCTTGGACTTGTGTTGCAACCTTCAAGGTTTCTTTTCAATGAAACTGCTAGACAGTAGAAAAGATGAGACTCTGTTAGAGCACATAATTCTTGATCCCTGCCTGTACCAAGTCCCTCTCCCTCTGAACAAGTCAGTCCTTTTCAACAGACTGCAACTTCCAACCTCCAAGAGGCAAAATAATGTCTACACCTAATCTGTCACTGAAGTACCAACACCACAAACAAATCCATTTACACTTGATGGAATGTTAAAGGCTAGTAACCAGGTCTTGGTCCTCATCCTAGCTTTCTTCACAATAGGTATACAAATGATATAACTCCTGCTACTGGTAGTAGCATCCCCCTTCCTTGACAGAACTAAGAAGCAAGACAAGAACTTAATAAACTTTGAATGGCCATGTCTGAAGGCCAGAATTTCAACTTCACTATTGGGATAATTCCTTACAATTGAAATAACTCAGTCCCTCTCCTCGGTACTGGTAGAACACCCAGTGACGGAGTTGATTTTCCTTTTCCACCACATAGGGAAGAAAGTACACTGTGACAAATTCTTAATGTTAAAAAAGGAGCCCAGAAGAATAAAAGAAATTCATTAAAACAGAATTTTCCAGGTAACTATTTAGTTTTGCTCTTACAACTACTTCACATCTACTGCATAATATATTTAGAAATATATTTAGTAGTATCCAGAACACATAATAACAGAAAAAAACGATGGAACGAGGAGCATCAACAAAATGTTAGGGATACAGAACATTAATAATATATGTAAAATAAAGCAAAAATCAAAGTCTGAATCTCAGTACTAGCCCTTTCTTGCTCCAAATCATTTTTTTAAATCATCTTTATACATAAACAGCACTAATGAATTCAGCACCAAGAACAGAAAAAACAGTTCAAATTGAAGAAATTCAATGGTGTTAGAACTGATAACAGCAAGGTACTGCTCCTTTTGCTTTGAATACAGAGAACTTGAGCTATTCTCGACTGAATACATTTTTACTGAAGTATTTTAAAAGCTGTAAAACAATTACAGGTATGCTAATGGACTACTCATTTACATTCAAGAAAGACAAGCAGCAGCATGGTGTAGGGAAAAAGAATTCTGGAGAAAAACAGAGCTGCTTTCAGTGTCACTTTCCTATTAAAATAAAGAGGTAGAAATCATGATTTTCATCAATATATCTTACATAAGTTCCAAAGAGAACTGAACTCAAAGAGAAGTGGGATATAAATAATGGCCAGAGTGGGATAGAAACAGGAGTTTTGCCTGGTAGTCCTAATGACAGGACGTGCTGTCAGCAGGAAATGTAAATACAGAAAGGCAGTAAGTATACAACTGTTATCATGTGATATTACAAAGAATTTTAGTTTCTGCAGCAGGTCTTGGGACAAAAGGATTGTTTAGCTGCAACCATAAGAATCGGATTTTTTTTTTTGGGTAATTAAAAAGCAAGTTTTTTCTACTAGTACAGCTTTTTCTTATCGTGAACATCAAATGTTAAGTGGACATTTTTAATCCTGGTACTGAGAACCATAATGACAACTAACAAAGACAAAGATATTTTTTCCATTACTTTGGTAAATGAGGAGCAACAATAAAGCCAAGGACTACAGGTCTTCATCTTAATAGACTGAATGCAAGCAGAAGCTTGGGAAAGGTAATCATAGATCCAGACCAGCCCTTGACAGCAGGCAAGATGTTCAAGGTAAAGGAGGAACAGGAGTGTTTGCTCCCTGCAGGACAATAGGTATGGTGGGTTGTAAGGAATATCTTTTGATATCTCAAAGAACCTCTTTGTGCTTCACAGCAACCGAAAGTGGAAAGGGCAAGACGAGGCTTGGGCTGACAACCATCAGATCCAGCCCCACTTTTGTCTCTCTCAACAATGGACTTCTCCACGCGGCAGTTTACATAAAACTTCCGGGAACAGCGTGCTCGGCTAGGAGCCGGGAGAGGCTGTGTTTCCCAGCCGTGTCACCGCCGCGCCGGGGGCACAGCGCGGAGGCCGCCGGGCACCGGCCCTCGCCGCTGCCATTTGCGTGAGGGGTGGGCGAGGCGGCGCAGCGCCACCTGCCGCCCCGCCCCGGCAACGCCGCGCTGCCCGGGGGCCCGCCCGCAGCCCGGGGGCCCGCCCGCAGCGGGCTGAGGGACCGCCGGGGGACCGCGAGTACGCCAACCAATACACCAGCCACACCTTCTCTTCATTGAAAAAAAAAAAAGCAAACAAATCAATCAGAAAACAATACATATTTTCGGCCTGTTCGAGGTTTTAGTTTGAGGTTTTGAGGCTTTTTTCCCTCCTCTGCACTGGTTCTAACACTGGTGGAAAAAAAAATATGTTTTCCCCATTTTAGCTTGCCAGTAACCCTTGATTTCTTTGCCAATCTACTCCCATTTTTCTCAAGCCTCTTTTCTACATCGCCCCACCTCCACCCCCTCAAGTCTGCCATCATCTCTCCCTGATGCCACTTCAGCACTCAAATCCTTAAAAATCAGCAAAGGGCCATGGTTCTTCTACTTTTGAAAGAAGCTACAGCTTCATTAAGAAGAGCCATCCAGGTATCTCAATGAGCAAAATAAATGTGCAGGCATACAAAAATGCCTTAGCTATGGGTATTCATCTCCCTCCTAACACTGTGTCTTATTCCCTCAAAATCTTAGGAGTTTTATAAATGTATATGCAAAAGCTAACATTTTAAGGAAAGCAGGTAACAACCTCAAATCTGGGAACAAAGATTAAGAAATTCACTTTAGATCAAGATGCAAGCCAGCAGCAGAGGCAGAAACTAGTAATCCTAACTCTTGGTTCCTTCACCCCCAACCCTACACCACCCTTTTTTTCCACCTGGAAAAAATCTTTCCATCTTTTTCACACTAACATTCTGTTCCTAAAAACAGAATCTACTCATCAGTTTCAGCCTCTCCTTACAATCTCTATTTTGATTGTGTAAGAACTCTCACAGAACACAAAACCTGCAATTTACCCTATTAACCCAAACATCTTAACAATCCCTCCCACATTCTCAAGAAAACAGTCTGTAGGAGGAAAGCTGGCCTTGCAGTCAGATGCACAAGAGCATTAAGCTCTCAAGTTGGATATGATTGCCAGAATTTTTCCTTGAAAACCAACTCCACCCATTTCAGTCTAAAAGACACAGCCTCAGACAATGCTGGGTGTGCATGGAATACTTCCTAATCCATGAGAGAATCTATTGCAAAGTAAGTATGGTATATATAAGGGGAAGACCAGATGTTTAAATATGTTCAAGATGACCAGCTGAAGTGCAGTTTTCAATCAAAGCTACCTACTACAGTCAAAGTACCATCCTTCAAAAACTACTTAATAGACTTATGAAATTAAAGGCAAAAAATAACCATAAACCTAACTGCATAAAATGGACTGGGAGAGGTAAAAAGGGCAGCATCAAAGTAAAAGCTCTCATAAAAATCAAACTCTGTGTCACGGCAGCCAAGCAGACACTGCCGCATCAGCTTCAGGAAGCTGTGTGGAACAGATTCGTAGCAGTTTATAGAGGGAATGGAACACTCACCTCAACTTTGAGCTGTAGCACCCTGGTATTGCTTAAGCTAGGCTTTATTCCGGCAAGCACACAGCAGCTTCCTCCCCTCCCCATCACATTTCCTCCCGCATTCCTTCAATCTGCAGTACACCTTTAACAGCTGTTCTAACAAAAGCACTCACTGTGCTCCTTTTCTGCTTTACATCATATAGGAATATGTTTTCTTGAAATAACAGAGAATTCAGCCAATCAGATCAGCTGTCTAGAGAGATCTAGAAATCTTCTCTGAAGACCATTCTTTTTGCCTTGAAGGGGTCTTCTCTTTACAGAGAGATTAGAGAACTGTCTCCAGGAATGTGAGACTGGTCTCCATTGTTAATTTACTCCTTATCCCATCTTCAACACCCAAAAGCAGGACAAAAATGGACTAGTCTCTTCTTTCTCATCGTGATATATGACCTCTAAGAAGAAACCCACTATTAGGGGATAATAACTAATTTATGTTTTACTGGTAAATGTGTAAAATAAGAGATACCTTGTATGCAAAAAAAATCCATTCCGTCTTCTTTCTGCTCAGAATGCAACCACTCAATGCTTTTGTAAATTAAAAAATCTAACTTGTTTCTTCCCTGTGGGAATGATGAATGGAATCCCAGATGTTTTGTAGCATTAAGAATCAATATTATCTAGCTATTTCAACTGCGAGACCTGTGATCTGATGTTGCAGCACACTCCCACTGACTATACCGTGATCTGGGAAACAAGTTAGCAGAACAATTACTACCATCAGCCCCTCCCAGAATCTCCCTTTTTTTAGAGCTTGGCTCAGACTCTCAGGCTCAGTTACAGCACTGTGCAGCTAACACTAACTCCACAGATTCCATCAGTTAATAGAGGTAAAACCTAACCTTAGTTTTAGCATACCTCTAGGCATGTTGGATCCCTACAGCTGAGAGAATGATAATAAAAATCTCATGGAAGCGAGAAGGAATGAGCAAGGACACTGACAGTCATGACTGCCACGGGAAACAGAGAACTAGGAAAAACACAGCTCTAAGCACTCACCTCACTGCAATTAACACTAATAACACCATTGGTGCTTATCCCTTAATACTCATTTCCAAAATAGTGTTATTCAACTTGGAAGGCTTATTTTGACTTCCTTCTCATCATAAATTAGCTAAGGCTTGAAACTGAGTACATATTTCCAGTAAACTGATCGTCTCCACCATGGCAGCAGTTTCTAGAATGCTAGAAGGCCACACTTCAAGACACTGAAGACCTAAGAACATTTGGCAGATGCTTGCAACTTATCTCCTTTAGGAGATACCTCAAGGCAGATCTGAATTATAAAGTCAATCTTAGATAGCAGACCAGTTAAACAGCTAACAAACAGCTATCCAGCACATGACCCAGCACATAATCCGCCATACGCTGTCATGGAATTCTCTATTTCATCTTAATGAGAGGAAAGCAGTATTTGAAACATCCCAGAAATACGACTTTCTATGCCATAAGGAGAGCAGGTCTGCAAACAGCTCACAGCTGTTTAGAGCATAAAGCACAAGTAATTTTCTTCCACACAAAGGTACCAGAATGATGATCATCTAAAGAAAATGTATGGATGATGAATATATCCCATGGTGATAGAGATAAGAACTGACATCTTTCAAGAAAAAAAAATCCACAGTAAATCAACTCATTCCTGACAATGCTCCTTCATGGTGATGCTTAAGGCCAACATCAAGAAAAATTCCTCTTTTATGTACCAAAAACTAGTTTTCCTAAGACTGTCACATAACTGTTTGAGACTCTTTGGAAAGAACATATTTTTAAAACCTGAAGAATCTGAAAAATTAGAACATTTATTTAAATGAATTTTATATAATATATTGAGCATCTGCAGCACAATCTGTCCAGTGCTGCTGCATTATCATCCACTCGTTACACATGCATTGTAGAATTTAAAGTCTCTGCAGGCAGGTGAACCCAAGCACACCTCTTTGAAAGCATATCACAGTATTCACCTCCTTTTCCCTTGGAGATTTGTAGACTGCAAAAGCCAAAGGATATGGGAATATATTAATTGTTTCCATTTATTCCCAGTACAATCCCCCCCGCTGCAGACGGGCAACTGCACCCTCAGTGATGGCTTTCATCTGCTTGTCTCCACCTTTGCACTGAGTGATGTTCAAGATGCAAGCAGCAATCCTCCCAGGCACAGCTGCCTCTAAAAGCCAGACATCCACACTCCCCCCGCCCCATCTTTCCTCTTCTATGTTCATGCTTGCAAGTAGGTGGTTACGATTCCTCATTCACACACCCCACTTCCCGATCACCACTGAATAATCCATTCTCTTTCCTCTCTGCAACACGAGCCCGATACCGGTCAGCAACAGCCATCCTTCTACTTCTCGGTATTTTTTCCTACAACAGCTTTTTCACCACCCTCCACCATGCCTGTGTGCGCACGCACGCCCATGTGCAAATAAAACACACATTTCCCCCATATCAGCTGCTTTTCTGGTGAGAGGCTCTTCCACCTGTGCCAGGTTTCCCTGCAGTGTGGTACAACACACTCCTCTGCTCCCTGATCCGTGTGTACACAGCCAGTTTTCCCTCCTCCCTTCCCCCACCCCACAGTCTCTGTGCATGCCTCTCCCAGCGCCTGGAGTGGGGGAAGGGAAACATGCACTGCGTGAATGAATGGACTGAAGAGACTTACCAGAAATTTGGTGATGAAGGAGGAGTGGAAGACGAAGTAGACACTAAAGATGGGTGTTTCCTTCAGCGTGCTAAGTGCTGCTTCAGTTCTGGCTCCCTTAAGGAGGTCACGTGTCTTGCTAGGTACCCCTTTTCCTGGATCCTCTACTAACCAAAAAGGGTGGTAAGGAGGTCTTCTGGATGCCTCTCTGCACTACACTCCAAAGGAGGGAAGGGTACTACTGAAGCTCCCAAAGCAAGCAAGGGATGATGATGATGAGAACGTTCTCCTGGTCCTATAACAGGCAATGTCTAGCAGATGCCTCGGGGACCAGGGTAGATTTCTGAGGGGGGAAGGGGAGTAAACGACTGTTAAAATAATTCCTAAATTGTCCTCCCCTATAGCAGGGATAGGAAGGAGTAAAAAGAGTACTGGTGAAGAGCTGTAGCTTTCTACGTAAAACAGACTCAATCCTTGTGTCTCTACTTCCTCAGAACTAAAAGCCTAAATGACTCTGAAGACACCAACACCTAAGGAGGAAAAAAAAAGAAGAAATGTCCCTATTAGACATAAATAAACATATAAATGTATGAAATACAGATAAACTAAATCCCAAAGGAATAAAACGTGCCATTCAAGACAATAAGCAAAGTCAAATGAAAATTGTGAGATGAACACAACTAGGGGAAATGTGCAACTTTAAGGAATTTACACCATTATACTACCACAGATACCAATTCTAAGGAGAAAAAGACCCCAGAAGACTAAGCACCTTGTTCTTTTACTGAAGAATGTGCATTCAATGGAAAGATAAACCTGTACCTACACGTGAAGAAAACAAGTTTTAAAACCTACAGAAACTATTCCATTTATTTGTGCGAGTCTTTAATCCCCTCCCCCAGAATAACCTTTAGGATTCAGACGAGGAGACTCGAGAAAAGTACATTTCAGGTCAGGAGCACGTATTCCTATGCATTAGGAGTATGTACTCCTATGCATGGGACTCCATTCTGCCACACAAAATAAAGTGGTTTATAAACGGTAACAAAAAAACAAACAAACAAACAAGCAAAAAACAACAAACATATCTAGAGAATGCTTGCTTAAATGATGGAATCAATTCAAGATTAACAGTGGCACGCTTGGAGAAACGGAGCCCCTGATAGGTGCCAGGCAGTAAAGTCACCGATGAGCTCTTTAAACATCAGAAAACAAAAGGGGAGAAGAAACCTAGTTGGGAAGATCTCGCTGCCAGACCCAACGCCAGCCACACACACCCCTGCCTCCATCACGTGAAGATCAACCCCCGCAGCCACCGCGGATCCCCACGGACCCGTGCGGGGTCGCGGCCGCCGTGCGAGCCCGGGGGGGCGGCGGTCCCCACCCCGCGCTGGCAGCGCGACCCGCCCGCGGAACGGCGGGTCCTGGACCGCGGCACGGACCCCCCACTCACACCCCCCGGCCCTCTCCCCGCGCACAAGGAGCGGCCGCCGCCGCCGCTCCCCCTCCACCACCCACCTGGGCGCCCCGGCGGGGAGGCGCGGGCAGCTCGCCCCGCTCGGCGCGCGGGGGATGCAGCACAATCACCATGGGCGCAGCGCGGCGGCGGCGGGCGGGACGGCTGTGAGGGACGGTCCCAACCACCCCCGCCCGCCCGCCCCCTCCCCGGGCACGGCGGACCCCACCCCGCGGGCTCGCGCCCGCTCAGCCCGACATCTCACCCGCCCCGGGCACCGCCGAGCCTGAGGGGACCCGCGGGCGCCCACCCCACCCCCTCCGGCACCGGGCCTGGGAAGAGAGGGCGCGGGGCGAAGAAGGCTCCGGGGAGACGCGCCCCTTCCTCCCCGCCGGCGGCGCGGTCCTAGAGGGAAGCGGGCGACGCGACGCGACGCTCGCCCACCTCCCTCACCGCCCCCCCTCCCGCCTTCCCCCTTTCTCGGTGTCCCTCCTCCCCGCGGCTGAGGCGAGGAGGCCGCGGCTGTTCCCTGCACCGAGCCCCCCGCCCGCCGCCGCCGCCGCCCGCGCCCGCTCCCGCCGCCTCAGAGCGGAGCGGCGGCGGTGCCGTAACGGCCGGGCCGCGGGGCCGGGCTCCACCGAACCGCTGCCCGTGAGCGGCGGCACCGCCCGCGCGGCGAGGCCGCCCCTGCCCAACGGCCGAGGTCTCCCACGGGGTCTCGGAACGGGTCGGGCTGGAAGGGACCACAGCGGGTCATCTGCTCCAACCGCCCTGATCAAGCAGGGGGTCGTCCTAGAGAGCATGGCACGGGATTGTGTCAGGCGGTTCTGGAATATCTCCAGTGAGGAGGACTCCACAACCTCTCTAGGCAACCTGTTCCAGTGCTTGGTCACCCGCACAGTAAAATTCTGCCTCGTATTCAGGTGGAACTTCCTGTGCATCAGTTTCTGCCCATGTCCTTGTCCTATAGCTCTGCACCACCACGAAGAGTCTGGATCCATCCTCTTGGCACCTCCCTTCAGACACTTAACACACATTGATGAGGTCCCCTCTCAGTCATCTCAAGGATAAACAGGCCCAACTCTCTCAGCCTTTCCTAGTAAGAGAGGCGCTTCAGTCCCCCAGTCATCCCTGTTGGTATCTGCTGGACCTGCTCCAGGAGTTCCATGTCTGACCTGCTCCAGAAGTTCCACGTCTCTCCTTACTGAGGAGCCCAGACTGGACACAGCCCTACAGATGCGGCCTCACCAAAGCTGAGTAGAGGGACAGGATCACCTCCCTGGACATGCTGACAATGCTTTTCCTAATGTTCTTCCTGCCTGTTCCCACCCTCCTCCCCTGCTCTAGCTGGGGATTCAGTCCAGCCCCCACTGCCGTGGCAGACCCCAGCCCAGGCCCTATTGTGCTGACCCAGCTTCTCCTGCAGTCCCCACCTTCCAACCCTGACTGCCCCCTCGGGGCTGCAGACACCATCCCACTGCCACGGGTGACCAGTCCCAGCACAGCAAAAGCAGCCACTCTGTCAGCAAAATGGGCACTGTCTGTCACGCTTGTCACTGCTGCTGTTGGCATGTGGCATGCAAACCCAGAACCCTCATCCTTCACGTTCAGTGTGACAGAATCACGTAATCAGACCTCTGAGATCATCGAGTCCAACCCCTGCCCAAACACCACCATGTCAACTACACCATGGCACTGTGTGCCACGTCCAGTCTTTCCTTAAACATCTCCAGGGATGGTGACTCCACCATCTCAATGGGCAGCCCGTTGCACTATCTAATCACTCTTTCTGTGAAGAAATTCTCTTAATGTCCAGTGTCTACTTCCCCTGTCACAGCTTGAGACTATGTCCCCTTGTCCTATGTCGCGTGTGACATGTCCTACGCACCACCCACCATATGCCATCATGTGCCTGATGTACCCAGTGTGCAGCCAGAGCTGCATCATCCCTCGCTGCTGTCATTTCTCTTAAATAATAACTGTTGGCAGCAGACAAATATGACGCATCCTCTGTATCAACCAACACACCTTGTTTATCAATTTCTATGGCACACCTACTCAGTTTCTTTCGTACCACACCCTTTTCATTCACTGTATCGTATCAGCTGTATATTCCACATTGTCCTATGTGAGTTTCTCCTTCACCAACCTTCAGAACCTCTAGACACAGCAAACACACCCTTTGCGCCCCAGAGGAACAACGTGTGTGTTTCTCGCTAGCCTGTGCTGCACTCCCAGCTTTGCAAAGATGGGATATACTCACCTGGTCACTCTGATACTCCCCAACATCCATCATACCATGAAGGTTACCATTCAACCTGCTTTCTTCTGCCTCTTCAGCACGTGGTGGTTCTGTCCTACTGGTCTTAATTCTCCTACCTGAACAACAGACAGTTTACATACTCATTGCCTCCCCAGCACAGTTCATCTACATGTGACCATTCCAGACAGGTTTTCCAACCTGCAGTTGCAGGGTAAAGCTGAGCCACCCAAACCTCTCATGAAGTATCCACAAGGTTTAACTGACACGATGGGACTGACTTCCACAGGAGTAACCTATGTATTGGAAGACAGGATGCCCTAAAATCATCTGCAATGTTTATTCATTCATACTGCACAATGCTGTACTGCGGTGTCATATGCTCCATCTTTGGTATATCGTCTGCAAAATTATACCTGGCAGTTAAAATACTCATAACACAAACATCATTGAGCATTTCTAAGACTGACTTTGCTGAAGGGTATATACGTTTGTTCATTTGGTTCTGCAAACATCTGGGTGCTACTCCCCAGACCTCAAGTGCGATTCAGGTGCTCTTCTGAAAACTATTTGCTTCATGCGTATGAGGCAAGGCAACCTCACAGATGATGTCAGAGGACAAAATCCCCAGCTACCCAGACATCATCCAATGCTCACCTGTGTGCTTGGGTTGCTCTCCAAGACACCTGCCTGCCTTTGTACAACAGTATAGGGAAAAATACACAGAATCATAGAATCAGATGGGTTGGAAAGGACCTCTGAGATCATCAAGTCCAACCCTTGATCCACTACCACAGCGGTTACTAGACTATGGCACTAAGTGCCACATTCAGTCTCTCCTTAAATATCTCCAGGGACGGAGAATCCACCAGCTCCCTGGGCAGCCCATTCCAATGCCTGATTACCCTCTCTGTAAAGAATTTCTTCCTAATATCCAACCTAAATTTTCCCTGACAAGAGCTTAAGACCATGTCCTCTTGTCTTACTGATAGCTGCCTTGGAAGAGAGACCAACTGCCACCTGGCTACAACCTCCTACTTGCCTAAATGCCAACTCAAAGTATAACTTGAGAGCAGGAGGCAATCATAGGCAAGTACCAGCAGGGTAAACTAGTAAGTAAACAAATAAATAACACCAAAATGCTAAACAGTATTTCTGTTATCTTGACAATAACAAAACATTATCTTCTTAGACAGAATTACTATAGGCTGAAGCCTTCTGGAATAGAGTTCCCATGTGCACCAAGTTCACACTTACAAAAGTTGTAATTTCAGGCTGTGAGGTGCGCAGAGTTTGTTTACATAGGGAATTTGCTAACAAAGAGCTACTGTGGTATCTGCTCTGCTGAAGATTGTGCAACCACTGCCCATTGCCTCACATGTACATATATTTCAGAGTAAGATTTCTTCTGGACTCATGTATGCTGTTTTTAAGACAGCATAAAGCAAAGAGGAAAGAAAAATCTCTGCATTAGTATTGGTATAACTAGAACTACAGTAACATAATAATAGCAGAATTTTTTTCTTTTGTATTTCAATAAGTAGCCAAGCTGTAAGGCAGGTGCCTCTCCTGCTCAAACATCGTTAGCAGTTTGTGGAAAGAGGAGAATTGCACAGCTGGGAAATTGAGGAATGTAGATTTTTGGCCATACAAATGCACTTTTGGTTATAAGACATCTGAGAGGAAGTCATTCTACAAGTACAGGAAAAACACTCGTCACGGTAACAGTAAGATATTTGATCTCAAACCACTTGAGATGTTTCAGCTGGGTCTTATGATTATCAGTAACAATTTATTCCACCAACTACCATGTACCTTCATAGCTCTCTCACATGCAAAATGTAGCCTTGTATCCTTTTTATTACTGTTCGTTGAACTACTGGAGTTGAAGTACTTTGTCACAGGTTGGATAACCTATATCTCTGGAACAATTTCCCATCATCTAGAAACCTAAGTGAGTTTGGAAAGAGTCCTGAAAGTTTTTTGCTATTTCTTGAAAAGGTAGAACAGGAGAAAGGGTCAATTTACTACTCAGGACATGCCCACCCAGGATATGTCCACTGCTGCAGAAACTTTTGAGTTTGTGTTTTGGTTTTTTTTTTTAAGAGTTGTTACCACTGCTGAGTTGGATGTAGATGTTATACTTCCCTAGAATTAGTCAAGACCTCTTTTTTCTATTCTTTTTTATCCACTAAAGGTGAGGTCTTTCCTGTTACCCATAAACCTCATTCTCAGGACAAAATTCTTCCTGTTTAAAAGTGCAAGGACAATATTGGGGAGTGTATCAGTGATCCAGAATACCAAGCTTCACCCTTTAGGGAAGAAATATAATTGTAGTATCGGCAAGGAATGGACGCCTCTGAACACTAAAGATTCCTGGCACCTTTCTTTTGAGATTTTTCCCATGCACTCTGTAATGCATAATGTAAGGACTGGTCCAAAGCCTTAATGAATGCAAAATCTGATTTCACGGTTGATTCCATGAAACATCTTTTGTCACTGAGTTCACTAAAACTGCAAACCAGCTGTTTAGTCCTGAAGCCAAAGTCTGCAGGACATTATCCCATTTTTCACATTGTAAAGTTTCATATGCTGTCTCTGGTTGGGTGTATGACCTTGTGATGGGAAAATGGTGGGAAATCCAACCTGCAGATGTTGCTAAGCCTAATTATTTAAACCCATTTCCCTGTGTGCTGACTGTGTGCTCCTTGTGTCTTCAGCAGTTACTCATTTAGTCAGCCAAATCTCATAGCAATGTTTTTGCTTCCTGCTTGGATGACTGCATAATAAAAAAATATATGTATAAGGCAAGGTAAATGCCTGTGTTCACACATGAATGCTTGGGTTCACATATGAACACAGATGGTCCCATGGAGGGAAACAAGTTCTGGACAGCATTTCAACAAAAAACGGCCGTATCATTCTTGTTTCATACCATGTAAAATGAGGACTTATGCCAAATGGTGCAAAATCGTCTTTAATTTCATACAACCTAAGTTTCTTATTGGTTCTGCCTGTTATGCTAATTGCTGTTCTGAAAAAACTACTGTAAGATAGCAGAAAATGGAGACACTACTGCTAATACAAAGGACTCCCAGCTGAGGGGGTCTGCAGGAGGTTCCAGGTTTCACTGACTCAGTCCCAAAAGCATTTTGACCCGGCACCCTCCCCTCCAGAATGCAACACCCCAGCTTGCAGGTGGGTCCGTCACACACGTGCCTGGCTCCATGTGCTTCATCCCACCGGACCCACCGATACCTCTGAATAAACCCTGCCCGCGGCCCGGCTGCGACCGGCGGCGGCGAGGTCTCTGCCGCCAGGCCGGCTGCCAGCACCGCCGTCCCGCCGGCGGCAGCGGCTCGGGAGTGCCCCGAGGCGGGGGACCGGGATGGGGGGCAGTGGGGCTGGGGAAGCGGGGGTGATGCTGCCCGTGTGGCGCGGTTCAGGGAGCCCTGCATCCCTGCTGGTTCTGGGGTGGAGAGGCGGCCAGTGCCGAACGCGCGGGGAGGGGGAGGGCGCGACTGCCCGTTTCCTATGCCAGGCGGTGGGAAGGGAGCCAGCAGGCTCCTGCGGGGGAAATAATTATTTTGCTGTAAATACTGAGACAAAATAACGGTGGTCTGTGCAGGTGGTGGAATAGACGGAATGGGAACCCCCTTGTTCCCAGCATTTGAAACGAGGCTCAGGCTCAGGGCACAATCCTGACAGAAAAAAGGAGCTCAGAGGGGCATTGCAAGATTTTTCCTGCCAGACAGCAACATTTGGGGACATAAGGGAGGAGAGCGTACATCTAATTGAATAAGTAACTTTGGAGAAGGTCAGAGGCTTCTGTTATCCTTATTCTGGGAACAGTTTGAGAACTGCGAGACACAAAGAAGCCCAGGCGGGCAGAGTTACAGGCAGAAACAAAGGAATGGGTGAATAGCAGCTGGTAAGCTTCAAAGGCTGGTATATAACTAGCAGCTCCCAATTCCAGAAGACGGGAGTGCATTTCTCTCAACTAAGTTGCAGTTCTGCTGCAGGAAAATAGGGAACAGTACTGAGGAGCTGGACAACAGGATGAATGTGCTTTCGATGGAAACAGTCATTTGAAAGGAAAATGCCTCCTTTTCTCTGTATCTCCTTTCTGCCACTCCTTGTTGTCTGCCTGGCCCCTTTTCCAGCTGTTTTTTTCAGTCTGCATTTTTCCTTTACCATCTTGAGAAAGTTCCTGCCTGCCTGCTTTTGTTTCCTTTTCCTTTACCTCTTTTTGACTCCTGTTTTGCCCTTTTCTGTCTCTTTTCTCCATTGTCTTTTGATGAATGCTGTTGCAGTGATGACTTAGGATTTCAGTGCCTGTTGGGAAGGATCTGATGCAACCACAGGGTGGCTATACCTCGCAGGCACTCTGCTGCATTAAGTCTGATAAACATCTGCCCTGCGAGCTAAAGAGCTTCAGGCAGCAGGTTAAATGTCCCCGACTTTATCCCCATCGTGTTGGTGTTATCCTCTTGTGTCCGGCAGTTCTGTGCCCAGATCTGATGAGAGCAGGCAACCTGGGTTTTTTCAAGACTTCTCTCATTCGTGGGGAGTGGTTTCTTCATCTTTTCTTCATCTAACTCTGATACCCCCTCTCGCCACCTTGCTGGTGTGCCTACACACCCATCTCCGCTTGCCTGCCTTGAGCCGATGGAGGTGATTCGGGGGCGGGCTCCTGCATCACCAATTCTCTCTCCTCTCGCAGAGTCCGACGCCATGATGGGAACTGTGCTCAGGAGGCTCCCTGCGGTGTGAGGGGACCCTTCCCCTTTCCTCCTGTGCTAAGGCCAGGTGCTAAGGGAGGAGTGGGACAGAGGTGCCTCCCAGGGAGGCCAGAAGTAGGTCAGCGGAGCTGGAAACCGCAGCTGATGCAGTGCGATGGGGGGCGGAGAGCCAGCTATAGCCAGAGGGGGGTGAGTGGGTGGAGGGTGGGGGGGTCTTTCTGCGAAGTTGCAGGGGCGGGGCAGCGTCTTGCAGGCCGATCGCAGGGCTGCCAGCAGACCCGCCCCGCTCCCCATCGTCCCCCAGCCCCCTGCACCCGCCGAGCCCCTTCCCAGCCCTGCGCCTTGGGGTGGGCAGGGGGACGTCCGCGAAAGGGCAGAGAGAGAGAGAGAGGAAGGGAAGAAAGTGATGCTGGAGGAGAGTTGAGGAAAAAAAAAAAGATGTTAATAATGGAGAAAGGAGGCTGGATGGAAATGGAGAAATGGAGAAAAAAAATCTGGGCAATGAATAAGGAACAGATGGAGAAATGTATATTAAAATAAGGAAGAAGAGAAGCGTGAAAGACAACAAACAATGACAAGTGATGTTTCAGCACTTGCAATTGGTGCAGTGGGGAGGTCATCTGTATTCCTCACGGTGCCCAGGCAAAAGGACGCGCGTCCCCCTTGCCAAAATCCACAGGGCAATAAGCTGCTGCAGCCAGACGCTGCAAGCTCACCACTGCCAGTAGCTTCGGCGGTACAGCTGTACCTCGCTACTGCCCAAAGGTCATACTGTTACCACCCTTTGGAGTGCAATGAAAGCCCATTTCAGTACGGTTAGCTGAATGCCTTGTTTGACCTTTTGAGTGTTTCTACATCAACATTGCCTTCTCTGTTACAGCTCCGAGGAAATCCAGATTGCCAGAGTTGTGTCCTTTTGTCGTTGCTGTACAGCCAAAGCCTTACTTTCTCTCGCTCTGACTTTTTATCCCTCCTCCCTTTCCCTATCTCTTTTCCATTTTCCCTGCCCGTCTCCCCCGCTGCCCAGTGACAGCTTTGCCCACACTGCCTTGTGTCTCCATCATTCCTGGGCTCCAATCTGCTCGGACCGGTGCTGCCTGCAGAAACGCACGCCCACCCCCGCCATGCCCTCTCCATCCCCGTTTTCCAGCCCCCTCCCCCGTCTCTTCTCATCAGCCCGGCTACATCCTTCCTGGCCTGACGCTACCAGTGTGTCTCCTCCCTTCTTCCCTCCTTCCCTTCCTTCCCATCCCTCCCCCTCTTCTCCCTGCAGTGCTTCAAGTCCTCACTGCAGTGCAATCCATCACTCCCAGCAAGGTCCTCACGCCAGGGGAGGGGGAAGCCTGGCTCCTTGTGAGGCTGGGGGTGGGTGGGCAGTGAGTGCAACTATCTCCTCCTTTGCTAAGAAGTGAGAAAAGCTCACAGAATACAGACCCTTCTAGAACTGAAACCTCCCATCTGCTCCCAGCTATTTTATTTATCCATTTACTTATTTAGACTCTTTGTTTTCAAAGAAAAATATGTTTCTGCCAACATTCCAGTGAGGGCGACTGGGCGACTGAAAGGAAACCAAGGAGACAGAGAGAATGCCAGAGTAAGAAAAGCTTGTTCTGATAGAAAAACCAGGAGAAAAGAGCACTAAGGGGAGGAAAAAAAACAAAACAAAACCAGAAAGAAAAAGGTATATACAGAAATAGAGGAATAAATGCAGAAATAGGATAAAAAAAAAATATTAGGTGCAGGAAAAGGAAAACATAGCAAAAAACCACAAGAATTAAATTGGAGAGAAACCTAAGATGGCAGGCATGGCAAGAAAACTCAAGAAGGATACAATAAATAGCCAGAGGAGCCTTGCTAAGAAGGTTTGATTTGATATGAAATAACATTTAAATAGTTTAATAAGCAAAGCCAGTGGGCTTTGTTTTGAATGCAAATATTCTTTACAGCTGCATGCAAATAAAATTCCAGTGTGTTTTTTATTGTAAGAATGAGTGCATAATGGATGAATAGTTCAAGTCCTCTTTCATAGAAAGATATGTATCAGGGCAGCTGCATTGATGGACAGAGGCAAGAAATTATTATAATAGTATCCAATTAGGTTTTTCAGATATGAACGCTGTTGCTCTTTTACAGGCAACTTGTGAAGGTGCTGTTGAGGTTGATAAAGAATGGTTGCTGTTTTCATCTCTTTAAAACTGAGGTAAGCTAAAGCAGTGCAGGCCCTTTATGCATATACATATACATATACATTAGGACACATTTTCATTAACATTGCCTTAATCTTTCATTACCTTGCCTTAGTTTCAGTCTGCCATCGAGTTAGAATAGTCACTGTACATGGGGAAGGTCAGAAGAAAATCAAGTGATCTGGTTGAAGTCAGCAGTACCTACAGGTGAGACAGTGATTTATACCACTGCAGTTTCAGTAATGTCCAAAATCTTTGTTCAGATTTCTCTAATGTCAACTGTAGAACAAAACATAAATGATGATAAAAGGCAGACTTTACAGTCCCAGTGAAATGGAGGGATATAGAAAATGGAGGGATAAAAGCCTGAAAATGGTACTTCCTAATTTTCCCCACAATATGAACTTTTATCAGTTTGTCTGCTAACAGGTAGTTTCATTTGCATTTCTTCTACCCAGTGCAAGTGTTGTTCTTCTTTCTTACATCCTATCAGAAGCACGGTGAGTGTTGTCAATGCTGACACTGAGGACTTCAACAGTTTGTATATTTTGGATGTGGCCAATTTAAGAAAATGTTTTGACAACAGATCTTTTCTAAATGTTACAGAATTTAAAGCAAATGGCTTTTAAAATTGCCACTTTTGCCCTTTCCCCAATGGAATTTAAAAACTTACTGGGTGTTCTATTTTTAAATATAATTAATATAATGTGATATCTATACTTTCACTTTATTTTCTTTTAAATTGCTATTCCTGCTCCCAGTCTCTCTATGTGCGCATGAAACCTTTTCTCTAAGCATGGACCTGTACACCTCTCTCACTCTGATGCCTCTTTTAACTGAAAGGGTATGTCCAATTCAGGCACTGTGAGCTGCCCCAATTTCATCACATCTTTTATAATCCAGTACTCTCCATAGCCCCACTACTACACTCACTGAGCTGTGTGAGGATCTCAAAATGATGTACATGTCAGCACTGCAACACTAAACTTGGAGTAGCCCTTTCACTGGGTGGTTTTTGGATTTTCGAAGCTGATTTTCTTGGGAGGAGGACTAGAGGGACACCGCTCCTGATTTTAGACTGTAAGGGTAGAAAAAAACCACTAAAATCTATTTCACCTTGGAGGACTACTAAAAGACAATAAAAATGGTACAAAAGACTGGACCTCAAATGAGACAGATACTGTATTGTTTGGAAAGCTCAACTGTGACTTCATCTCTGCTGGATTGGCTCTGGTGAACCTCTCTGTGCAGGAGTAAGACACCACTCTGCTTCCCAGTAGTGACTTCTTTAGCCAGCTCTGGTTACTGCTCCAGTGCTTGATCACTGTGCTGAAACAGGAGGATTAATCCTGCTGTCTTTGCTCCAGGGTTTGTGGTGTCCAGAAGAGTTGGGAGAAGGGAAGGGGGAATCCATCGTGTCTTTACTGACATTTTACTCATGGCTTCAGCCTCATCTGTATGGAAAAGTTGCCCCAATTAAATTAAATATGGTGTTATTATGTACTCCAGACTCTGTATGGACACACATAACTGGACTTATGTGAGGGATTTATATCTTTGTTAAGCTTAAAGTGTTACCTGTCCTCCTGAGAGAGCAGTCTTGGAAAAAGTTTCATAAGAGAAGCCATATTTGAGCTCAACTGCTTGAAGAAAGGGAAGTGTGGAGGAACAGATGAAACAGCCAGGAAGAATTGGCCCTGAGACAGTACAAAGGATCACAAAAGAACTACATTTATGATAGTAAGAACTACAGAAAGAGTAGCAAAGGAAACCCCAAAGCACAGCAAATTACTAAGGAAAATCCTGGCAATTCACCATAACCACCTTGTCCATGAAAGGCCTGAAGCACCTGGCCAAGTCACCGACCAAACACCAAAGAGCTCACTGATTTCCTCTTCTTGTGGTCAGTTCTTCACAGTGCTGAACTGATTTGAAGGAACTGAGCGGGTATTAGTCAGTTTCATGGACTATCTTAGTGTATTTTGTGACTGCGAGACTGCATGCCCTCTAAGCACTGCCTTGTTGATTTGGAAACAGAGGGGTGAAGAATTCCTTATTTTTGTAGATGGGACAACAGAAAGCATGACTATGAGTCAAAAAGAGACAAATTGTGTTGAGGCTGCTGTACCTTGCAGTGTTTGCACTTCTACAGTGGGTTGGATACAAAGTCAGATGTGAATCTCTGAAAATTGGGGATAGGTGGATCAGGCCTTGAACTTGTGTCCCTTCCCTCTGATGACCTCAGCAAAACCAGTAGAACAACTGCAGGATGATGTCAGACCTCAGGTATTAGTGGAGCCCATCAGCAGTGTGGGACCCAAGAAAATTCGTTTCAGCCCCAATTCACAAGACTAGTAGTCCTGCATTATTGACATGATACATTCACATATCTTACAGCAGTTCATTAATTTCTTATCAGTCAGGTGTAACTTAATGCCCAGTTACCGTGAGGATATGTGAAGGCCAAGAAGACAAAGAGGGAAAGGGAAAGAAGTCAGTAGGAATTTAAATGCTGCTCCAGGACCTATACATATAGTATGCCCCAGGATCACTTACCTGTCTGCTGAGACACAGAAGTCTCTGGGGTGAAATGCATCAGGTGATTTTAATTTCCAGGAAGGCCAATTTTGTGTCTTATCCATGCTACCATCACTGTAGCATAAATCCCTGGTAACATAATGGGATCAGTACAAACTGGGAAGGAAGATAACTTTTTGCTGAATCATTGTCACTGCTTCTGATCTTAGGTAAACACCTACAGGCACTGGAGTCAGCACTTAGGGGATATGTGTTTCCTTTATGAGTCACCCACGCCATTTACTGCAGCACAGTTCATCACACCATGATGTGTGGCCTTGATACCTGAATTTTTAGAAGGAAGAGTGCTTCACCTTGAGTCATCAGCTGTAAATGTCCCCAGGATACACTGTGATGGAGGACAGCAGCCCACAAATCACAAGACAGCAATGGGAATGGATGAGAAGGGATGGTGCAGAAGGATGTTAATTTTTCATATCTCCCAGCTGTGAGGGCTGTCCAATTACCTTTGTCCGTGTCACGGGGCAAGGATGGGAGAAAAAAACAAGATTCTTTTCTGTTTCAAAAAGCAAACCGGATAAACAGTTGTGAATCCAGTAGACAGTTAGGAGGGCTAAGAGGAGATCCTTCATGCCAGATGGAGGCCTGCAGACGCAGAGCCACATCTCTTGAAGAATGTGCTTGGACTGCAAGAGGAAAAAGGGGCGTTCTCATGCCATTGTGCTGCGGCTCCCTCCGGTGTCCACCGCGAGCAAGAGCAGCAGGATGTCTCCAGCTATTTCTCCGCAGCTTGTCTGGTCTGTAAAATACTGAACTGCTTCTCAGCCAGCGATTCCACCACCAGGAGCATCGACCTCATCCGTGCCAAGCTCTCCAAATGGAGGGGTGCTGCTAGCGCCACGGGTTTACCCGCACTGAGCAGCTGGGGGAGGACATAGATTGAAAAGTTTTAAAGTTCAAAAGCAATCAGCACAAACTTTAACCAGGTTTGGCTGTGAATCCTGTGCTCTGTGGGAGATGGTGGTACATCAGCATATTGGTAGACCAAAACATTTGGCATCAATGAAAATTTCCTAATAAATGTGTTCAAAACTCACAAAGTCTTCAGGATGTTTTAGTTATCCAGTTAATCAGTTACAGAGGCTTGAATGACAACACAGAAGTAGAGAAAAGCAAAAACCAAACCAAGGTGTGTGGAGAATTGTAACCCAAACATACTGCTAAGTGGACTTCCAATAAGAGCCAAGAATCTTAGAGAATTACTCAACCCGAGCTGTGGTTATAACTTCCATCACATTCTTTTTGTTGTTTAATGACCTCTCCAGCATTTCCAATGCACTCAGTTTTAGCTGGTCTCTGAAAGTGCAGATGTTGGTGACTCGCTCTAGTGAAACAGAGCAATGTGTTTGGCTCCAGAACACTGTCCTGGTACCAGGGAATTTCCTAGCTTTCCCCATCCCTTCTATCCCTCCTCTGGTACAGTCCACCAATGGTGCATCCTCCAGGAGCCTTGGGAGGACCAGAAATAAGAAGGAGCAGTCATTTTTCTCTTAAGCACTGCCACACCCAATGCTCAGCACTATCAGGTAAGAAGCGGTGGCATCAGTTATGTCACATAACTCTTTTGAGTCTCCAGTGGCAGCAAGGACATAGTGAGGATTTCCTTTAGTAACTCTGTCTAAAGCATTGTGGGATTTTATTTCTAGTCTGCATTTAGTTGAGGACAAATTAGGGTTACCAAGCTAAGGATGAACCTTAGGGGGGACAGCTTTCCCCTACAAGGTTTCATTGCTAGATGAGGGGGGGAGTGGGGTCATTTCCTAGATTTCTTCTTGGCTTCAGGACTGACATTGTGCCTTGAAGCTCATCCAGTGCCTCCTCAGACCCAGAGGAGTAGTTATAGAAATAGCAAAGGGAAAATAAGTCAGCAAAAGCAACAGGAGATGAGGGATGCAGGGACTGTTGGAGGAAGGGTTAGGGGAGAGTGGCTATTCCAGTGGGGCTCGTAAAATGCAGCCATGTGGAGGCACAGGGGAGTCAGGAGGATAGCAGTGAAGGTCAGGTCTCATTCTTCCCTTCTCAGTTCGTCTTGCTCACTTTCCTACTTTTTAACCGTTTTATTTAGTTATTTATTTATTTATTTTCCTATTTTTTGCACACGTGTTCCCTATCCCCTGCTTTTCTCAGACAGGCAGCGGCGCTGCAGAACAGGCCCCGTGGCCGGTACCTGCTCCCCATGCCCCCTCCCCGCCACCAGGCTGGTCCAGGCGGGAGCCCCTTCCCTCCATCCAGCTGGGAGGCTCCAGCCCCGCCCTGGCGCGGCAGCGGGGCGATGTCCCTGCTGTGGCTGCCCGTGGATTGCCCGCCTGCCCCCGCCGTGTGTCCCCCGTCCCGCCGCCCGCGCTCGGTCCCCGCGGGACGCGGCCGCTCCCACCCCGCCGGCCCGAGCAGCGAGCGCGTCCTGAGCGCACACGGGATGCGGTTCCGCACTGTCCCTGAGCGGGAGGCTCGCAGGGAAACGGGGAAGAGGGCAGAAGGACTGGCGTGGGGAGAGGCCGCTGCTGAGTGGGGGAATCGTGGCTAGAGGTAGCGGCGTGAGGAGAAGCGGGACTGTGCAGGAGGGAAGGACGAAGCGGGACACCAGTGTGCAACACAGACCCAAGAATCCATCCCTGGTGCTGGGCCATCCTGGGGGAATGGGAGGAGCCCCTTCGGAGGACAATAAACTCCGGAATGAGGGTGTGGGCAGCTGGTTCTCGCTCCCCCCCCCTCATTCCAGATGCATGATGACACTCTGTCCCTCCGTCTCGCTGGCTTTTTTTTTTTTTTTTTTTTTTCCCAGAAATTGTATTTTTGAAGACAACCAAAAGGAGAATGTATTCTGGGTGTGGCTGCATGTGATTTACCCAATAGCCAAAGTGGGGGGGACGCCGAAGGGGAAAGACAGAGCGTTTTCTGCTGAAGGGAGTGGAAGCTGAGGGCTGCAGTAAGTGATGGGGACCCTATCCATTCTCTCAGTGCTCCTCTAAATAACTTAAAAGTAGAAGAGAATGGAGGGAGATAATGTGGGAAAACTTTTCTTTGCATGCTGGGTGTGTGTGTGGAGTGGGGCTTAGCCACCTGGATGAGAAAAAAGATGGGGACTGGAGGAAGGAGACGGAAAGAGGAAGAAAGCAGGTGATGTTATAACTTCAGTCCAGAATATTTCTAAAACATCTGGAAAACTAGTGAGGTGAGGAGGGAGACAAGAACGAGACTGGGAATACCAAATGGTCTTGAGAGGGAAATGGGGGCAGCAAGCAAAGTTTCTGTGCTGTAGGGGAGTGTATTCCAATTCCTGCCTTAGCTTTCCTCTGACTACTCTCTCCTCCACTCCACAGGGATGAAGAACTCTGGAACCTGTACACTGCTGTGTCTCTTGGCACTCTTCTTGTCCCCAGCTGGTGAGTCTGTATGCCAGGGGGAGAATTTCTTCCCCATCTGGGCCCCACAGAATTTCCTACACAGACTAATATGCAATGACTTAAGAAGAAAGAGACATGTAGATGGGTAGTGAAAGGGGAAGTACCGAACAGGAAAGGCAAGGTGGATATAGGGCTGTAAGGAAAAAATTAGAAACTGGAAACAGGTTCTTATCTGTGACAGTCTCCAGTAAGTACTGGGAGTCACAAGAGGCAGAGGTCCACAGCCTCCACTTCAGGGATGTTTATGTAAGCAAAACAGCCAAGTCAGTTTGAGAAAGAGAGTTAGGTGTGCTTTGTGCTTACTGGTGTACCACCTGTGTGTTCAGGGCATTTCCCAGTGCTCCACAAAATTTGTTCTGTCATAGTTATGACACATTTGCTGTCACTAGTAGTTCCTGCTGGAATGACCCCATTTCAGGCCACTTGACTGCTGGAAGGTTTTGTAGTTCTTTGTAGAGCTGTTTTGAGAAACTTAACCTCTGTAGTTCAGGCCATTTTTTGCTTTTGGTGTTGGTGAATGTTGTTACTGTTTTGTTGCTCCATGATTTTGTTTGCTTGGAGCTACTTTGGCAAAAATCCAGGTGGGATAAAATTTGTTTAAAACAAAAAAAAAAAGCACAAAGCCCTCAAAACTGGAGGACAGCATCAGACATTATAGTTGGAAGACTCAGGACAGACAGCGAAAAAAGGTGAATTTCAGTGAATGGATAAAGCTTTGTCCAGGAAAGACTCCAAGTGGGAGAGAGATGACTACCTGACTACCTATCACATTCAAATCAGCTTATTGCAATACCTCCTTTGGTCTTCCCCTCATACTGAAGCCTGATTCTGCTCCAAAAAGCACTTTTTCCTTTAAAGGTGCACAGTAGATGATGTCATATTTTTGACTGTGAAGCAGGGAGGTGAGGCATGCAAGAGATGCAGTGTGTAGGTGGCCTACAAAGTTAAAGGGGAAAAAAAAAGTCTGTGGTTTTTATGATATATGAAGGAGTCCTGAAAAGAATATTTCTTACTTTGGTGTATTTCGTTTTAGCGCTTCCATTTGTGTTTGTTTGTTTGTTTTAACTTGGAAAATAACAGGAACGACCAGCTGGTCTCTTACTGTTTCTTTTGGTTTGGGGTAAGCTACAGATTCAGTCAGCTAGGGTTGCAGTTTTAGACCTCAAGGATGAATTTACTGCAGCTTGGAGAATAAAGTCCAATTGTTTATAAAACATATGAATTGCATACAATAGCAAATATAAATTGAAGTAATTGAAGATAGGATAAGAAAGTCACCTGTTTTGTCTCCTCACCTCATATGCAGAGATTTCACTTTACTTTCTGTCCTGTTGGTTTAGAATTAGATCAGTTTTCTAGTTAGCTCCTAGGGAGGAAAAAACCCACCAAACTAGCAAGAGCTGAGTTTTCGATGTTAGAAAAGAGGGGAGAGCCTCCCTGCCTTTTCTACATGTCTCTTCAAATCCAGCACTGCTGGTTTCTGCAATGGTTTCAGAATTTGTGTCCTTGCTTTTGCATCAGAAACAAGTGAGAAAGTGTTCAATACTGTTTACTTCTCTACATGTTACAATTAAGGGATTAGCCAGAAGAGGGAAAGTTTTGGGCTGCATTAAATTGTGCAATTAAGTTATTATACATGTCTGGCTCTCCCTGGGTTAATTGCCAGCGGCTGAGCTGTTGCTGGCAGCTGGGTGGGGAAGAGAATATCAAGATCCAACAACTTCTGTAATGCTGCAAAGCAGGATTATGTAGGGGTCCCAAGAGTCCCTCTGCAGTCTGCAAGTAACTGTTCTTGGAACATGGAAGAACTAAGACAGAAGCTCCAGAGCTGATAGCTTTTACCCACATGGTGCTCCCATTAAGAACAGAAAGCTAAAGGCTGAGTTCACAAGATGTAGCAGGGTGTACTGTTTTTTGGGCTGGTCGTGCACACATCCCTGCAGTGCCCCAGATCTGTGGCTTTTTCCTGCCAACTCCTTCCTTCATCCCACCCCAGTTATGCAGACATTTCCCTCCTCTGCGGCTAGCAGGAAATACTTTCCTATTCCTGGCTGCTGTAGGAAGCAGCTCTCTCACCCTTTATATTTGGACAAACAAACAGTGTAGCCCAGTTTCAGTTTCTTCTCTTCCACACAGAATGCACAGCCAAGCCTTCATCATTCTCCCTCGCCAGTGCACCCTGGTGCAGAGAAGGGAAAGATCATCTGCTCTGTGCCCCATACCCAAGCAGGATGATGGACCAGATAATTATTTGCCTAAGAGGATACAAAACCTGCAGTCTGTTTCTTACTGTACCAATGACTCAATCCATGACCCCAAGTAAATAATTTCCATGACTCAGTTTCCTCTTTTATAAAATGAAGATAGGGATTTTGACCAGACTCCAGAGCACGGAGGCCACATGGATATTTTTTTTTCAAAATGCATCAAATGGGGTTTCAGAAATGTGACATGTGGTAGCAGATCTGGAGGTATTTACTAACTTTCCCTGTGCCCAGCCCTTGACCCTGGTGGAAGCAACAGGGTTCAGATCAGGACTGGCTGTGTCCACGAGTCTTTAAACAACAAACCCAGCCAGCAGTGGAGGCTGAGGCAGAGTGAAGAGATTTCTCCCTTCAACAGAGGGCAGTGGTGTCTCCTGGATAGATAAATGTCTCATAAAAATTTCACAAAGCCTGCAGACTGTAGAAATCTCTCTCTTTCTTCACTCCCTCTCTTCTTTTCTTGCAGACTGGTTTCCATGGGTGGTCAATGGGCAAGAACCAGAAACTGCAACTGGTAAGTATTACAGGCATGTTGTGTGCTGAAGGTTGCTCATGTGATCCTGTTGTCCTGTGGAGTTTCAGCCTGTTTATTAGCAAATACTGTTCTTTGTTTCTTTACCTCTGACATTAGTGAGCTTACTTTTCAGGGAAGATTGAACAAGCCTTCCAAGACAACCTGCTAAATGTTTTGTGCTCTTTACAAATAATTTGCTGGTGTGGGGGTCCTGAACACTTAGCTGAAGTGCACAAGTGGTGCTTCAGCAGTAAGTCCACTGGGAAAGGTTATTGAGTGGTCTTCATACTAGTTTTGTTGTTGGGGGTGAATTGCTTTATCCCCTGGACATATCCATTTCTGTGACATGGTAACATAAAATGAATGCATGTTTGCATCATGTTTCAGCACCCAGAAGAACCACAAGGGCCTGCCTTTTCTTCAAACTGAAACCCCTGCCTAAGCCTTCAGACATCTTCCAGCTACGATCCTGTCTTATAGCATCTGGGGCTTTCCAGAAAACTATTCCCAAGGCAGTCTAAAACATGTCCTCCAAGTTTCCCTTTCCTTCACACTTTATCCCTCCATCACTACCCCAGTTTTGCCATTACTTGCCTTTCAAAGAAACTCATCTGCTGATGAATTTCTTCAGTCAAGACTGTTTTAGAGTTGCCTCCTTCCTTCCCTGCAGTGGGTACCTCAGCTGTCTGTCCTGCTGCTGTAGGAGGCATCAGCACCTTCATTTCAGACATCTTTATTTCCCACCAAGATGCCTAAAATGACCATATGTGAGAAGTCAGAATATGCACTCAGAATTCAGTACAGGTTGATGCAACATGTGCACTAAAAAATCCAGTCCCAGGCCAGTCACAGAAAAAGGGAATGGATATGAATGGGATGGGGGCACTGTGTTTGTTTATGTATTTACTGGATTGGATCCCACTGTCTCATGAGCCCGTGATGGCAGCCAAGGTAATTCAAGCTGGCTATGGCTGGATATGTAAAGGACCACAAAGTAAAGACAAGCTTTTGTAAGAACTTTCTGTCTTTTCCAGGTGATGTTACCCCTGCCTCTCTTCTCAGCAGCCCTGGTAAGCTCCTATCTCTTGGCTTCATTTTCGTGCTTCATTTTCCCTTTTCATCTGTACTCCTGCCTACACACACTCAGAAATTACCCATTATGCCCAGAAACTCCTCTTCCCACTTTAGACATCTAGCAGTGTTCTTCCAGCATTTATGGCTGTCTGGGAATCCTTTCTGTGCTCCATACAGGGAGATTAATTTAGGGTGACCTGATGGTCTGTTCTCCGAGGACATGCCAATCTCACCTAGTGTACTAGGTACTAGTGTACTCTCTGAAGATGTTTGCACTGCAGGAAGCCATGAAATTCCAAGCTCACTCAGCCTGGTCTTCCAGAGGAGGTGGCAGAAACAAAGAGACGAAGTGACATGGGTGAGAAATTGGACAGGTTCAAACTGGGCATCACTGGGACACAGGTTGGGTGTGTGTCTGCTGGCAGGTGGCACACATGCTTGATGCTCAGGAGACAGAGGTGGCAAAAAACACCTGAAAAACAGTAGTAAAGCAAACTCTGAGGAGTGCTGGGATCAGGAAGTGGAAATACTGTTGTTTTAGTACTGTCCTCCCCACTCTGGCTATGGCTGTGTCACTGGGGGGCAGCAAAATGTCTGCAAAAGGTAGGGTAGATGGAGGACTTGGAAGATGAACACTTACAGCCTGCAGTGTGTCTCCTTGGAGAGTGGAGGTAACCTCAGGGGAAGGACACAGACCTGATGGGAGTATAGGCATTTGCAACAATCAGCAATGGAGGAAAGGAGGCTCAAGAAGGAGCCTCTCCACTTTTTCCATGAGTCTGGTTTCAAATCTGGCATGTCTGGTTTCTCTCACTTATGGGGCTCTCTCAAACACATCCCTCTGAGGATGGGAAGACCAGAGAGGGAAGGGAGAGGAGGAACACATCTGGTCAATGATACGGTCCCAAGAGAGGCAGCTATGCATGGCTGTTTCTGGGAAGTCTGCTGTGTGTGTAGGAGAGCTCTTCTGAGAATGGTGTCTTGTTTTCCAGGACATCAGTTCCATAATCTGTCTTCTGCCCTGATTCTGTTCATCATCTGTCTAGAGTATTTATCATGGGTCAAGCTGTCATGGGACAACACTGGAACAGAAAACTGGAAGAACAATATTGTATGCACATCCTGGGTGGGATGGGAGGTGAAAGCAATTGTGTTCAGTACATGAGGCCTGACAGTCTGTATGAGTGTAGATAAGTCTTAGTGTCTAGACCAAACTGGTGGTGACTAACCTACATCTAAAACTGAAAAGACTAAAAGGTGAAGCCTTTGCAGCAAACTTGGGCTTTGAAATGTTTATTATTGAGGGATCAAGAAGATATTGTTCACAAAGGATGTACCATTGGGATCCATCTTTGCTCTGCAGCATCCTATCATCTCTGGGACACCCAGCATATTTGTAAGGAAAGTCTGCAGTTATTCTAAGTCAGATGATAAGAACATCATGACCAGCATTGTCTGTGAACTAGATGGCTGCTGGTCAGGAGTGGTGAGCCATCAGCAGAACTGTGGCAGGAGGAAAGAGGCTGAAAGCTCAAATTAAGATCTTTCAGAACATCTTCTCTTTTTCCAGCTGCAGCCGACACACCACCTGAGGTTCTTCCTACCAGTAAGTTTATTCTCAGTTCACAACCACATGTTGTAGACCCTCCTTCCCTCTCCTTTCACAGTCCCTTGCACACCCAGAATCCTGCCATCTCTGACTGCCCCTAAGCACCGCCCTGACACCAAAAAGACTCATTTTCCCTTGTGCACATGTGTTTTTCTATGCTTCTGGCTGACACTATGGCTCATGAGCATAAGTAAAAGTCCTCTCTAACTGTTGATGAAAACTTGCACCTGGCAGTTTTTTGAATTCCTTTGCAGTTTGTTACTGGGTAAATTATAAAATATAGTGGTTTGCTGTGGTACAGATGAGTTACTTTATTAGAGGGAATAACAAACCAACATATTTTTGATCCTTTGTCATGGACATTAAAGAAGTCTTAAAGAGGTCTTGGGGATGCTGTTTTTTAAAGGTGTCGCTATTCCTTAGGAAGAGGCAGTCAAAGGTCCTTCACTTCTTGTTTAGATAAATAGTAATTACAGCAACTAAATAAATTTACCTGAACTTTTGAATTTTGAAGATGTCTTTGTAGTGTAATTTTGAACAGTAATGGTAATATTTTCAGGGAAAGCTTGGGCAGATTTTTGCTGTTATTGCCTGGCTAGTTTCATATTGGATTTGTACCTTCTCTTATGGTTTCATATTAGTAGCAATGAAATCTTTTTCCACCTTAGAAGTTACAGTGCAGGGCTCTTAAAAGAGCTTTCCAGGTATTTGTTTTGATTAAGCTAATATCTAGGAAGAAATCATGGTAACTAACTAACTTTGCTACCCTCTGTCTCCCAGTTCAGTCTGACAGTGAAACTGCAACAGCTTCATCAGGTATGTTTTAAGTTTGCTGCCTACCTTCCCTCCCAAAACCACTTTCAACCAGCCCCTCTAGAGGCAGGTGCTGGCTGAGCACTGAGCTTTGTCTCCTGGAAAATTGCTTTCAATTGTTTCTTGAGTTAGAAGTACTGGAGAATTATGGTAGTGGAAGCTGCAGCCTTCACCTGAGTGGCATGCCTGGGAGGGGAGGAACTGGCAGATCACCAGACCAGATACGCTGGGTCAATATTGTGCCATTGTCATTGGCCGATACCTGGCATTTCAGAATGAAATACAGGAAAACCCATCATAGTTAGCTATAGGGTTGACTCTCCAGAAAAAAAAAGGAACTAAATTCATATCCTGAAACGTGATATTGCAGATCTGTTGGAAACACATCTTAAATATGCAACTACAATTTACATTTGGTTAATTTGTGTCTGCCCGTTTTACAGCATGTGCCTCCTGTATTCAGGATGCCCAGCGAGCTTTTGCATTTCACTCAACTTTCCCTTGCTTTTGTCTTACGAGGCAAAGGGATCAGAAATATCTGCATCACTTTCCTATTTTCTAAACCATCCCCATCTCTCATGAGAGAGTGGACAATAGAGGCTGGAGGCCTTCCCTAGAATCCTGGAGGACAATACCTAGTGATGAAGTGATATCTGCCAGAATGAGTTCGTCTGCCAGTGATGCTGGATTGCACCTCTGTGTCTGTGTGTGTGTGTTCCCAGACTGTCGTGAAGAAAAGTTTCCTTGCACGCGCCTGTACTCTGTTCACAAACCAGTAAAGCAGTGTATCAGCTACCTCTGTGTTACAAGGTAAGAAACCAGCAGTCCCTAAGAAATGCCTTAAAAACTCTCCAGAAATGGTATATCCAGTTTAGCAATTGTTCCTTTTGAGGACTAGAGGTCTCTGGGAACCAGTTGGTGAGATGAATTCTATCCCCAGAGTGTCCTTTTTGTGTGATTATTTAAAACAGCACAATTACTATTATCTGTGCAGCATTAGGGAACTGTAATGTGCTCGATATTGTAATCCATATTTAAGGTATTTGGCCATTTATAGGGCCATGAAGATAATCAGAGGGATAGAGCACCTTTCCTATGAAGACAGGCAGAGAGAGATGGGGTTGTTCAGCCTGGAGAAGAGAAGGCTCCAGAGAGACCTTATTGCGACCTTCCAGTACCTAAACAGAGTTTATAAAAAAGAGGGAGATCAGCTTTTTCCACAGGCAAATGGTGATAGGACAAGAGGGAATGGTTTTGAACTAAAAGAGGAGAGATTAGATGTTAGGGAGAAATTCTTTGCTCAGAAGGTCATGAGACACAGGAACAGATTGTCTAGAGAAGCTGTGGATGTCCAGTCCCTGGAAGTGTTCAAGGCCAGATTGGACAGGGCTTTGAGCGACCTGATCTAGTGCAAGGTGTCCCTGCCCATGACAGTGGGTTGGATCAAGTTGATCTTGAAGGTCCCTTCCAACCCAAACCTTTCTATGATTCTGAGATTTTATGAAGCCTTTGCCAAGATTACTTTCCTATAGATGGCAGCCTTAATCTAGGTTGACTAATCATAAAAACGTAGGACTTGCCTCCTCATCAGTGAATATATGTGTTTATTGCCTGTATCCCTTTTTTCTTTCTTTGGGTCTCCGCGCCTCTTGCCACTGACCCTGGCGATCCCTCAGTGTGCGGCGCATGTACATAATAAACAAGGAGGTGTGCTCTCGCATTGTCTGCAAGGAGAATGAGGTCATGCAAGGTGAGTGAGATCACAAGCTAGCCTAGAAGAATAGTTGCAGCCATCTGACAGAGTCTCTAACCTAACTAGTTAACTTGGACTCCAATCCGTCTGCAGTAGTTTCCCTGGACTCCGTTTGAAGGAGCTCTCATGCAATGCAGTCTTAGATCCAGTACACAAAAAACATGACAGAAAAAATGGGTAGTAGATATTGTACTAACAAGAAGTATGATAGCTCTCTATTCCCCCATCTTGATCATGCTCTACTAGCCCCAAACACACTCATACTCAAAGTTGTATTCCTTTGAGGTTAAAGAGTAAATCTCAGTATTTCTGGTCATGAATAGAAACAGGATCCAGTCTAGATTTTTTACGCAGTCTTTGTTGCAACAAAATACTAGTGATTTTAATATGTACTGTACATGAATAAAGCCAGAAAGAAAATCATAAAAGCCTAAGGACCTGTTTTGCATGCCTCGTGTATATGAGGATTCAGCAGTTTCAACTGTTTCTGTAGATGTAGTGGTGAAGAATTTGAAGGAAGTTTTGATTATCTGTCAACTTGTGTGTGTCTATTATGTCTTCAGATGAGATCTGTCGCCAGCTGGCTGGCCTTCCTCCTCGACGTCTGCGCCGATCTGGGCAACCCCTGCCTCTCCCTTGCAGACAGCTTCTGGAGCAGCAGCGTGGAAGGCCTGACGCTCTCTGAACTCCCAACAGTAGGAGAGGAAAAGGAAGGGAGAGAAGAGAAATCCTCATCCACTACCTACCCGAGACAAGTCCTTCTTGTTTGTGATTTCCCCACCATTTTCTTGCTTCTATGCCTTCCCCTACATCCTCTTCTTCGGGTGCTGCAGTACACAGAGTACTCTGCTAGTCTGTTATGGTGGCTCTTATCTTTAAAATCTGTTGCTGAGGATATAAGATGCTCTCTCCTTTCCTCTCTGTCTGGCAGGCCACGAGCTACTCATTTCCCAGAGGTCCTTATGAATGTGCTGCATCTTCTCTTGCTTTGTCCCTGGAGGGATATTTTGCATGGGGACAGGATGTAGTCCTTTCCAATGGTACAGATGCCCTAATCTGCATTTCACATGGAGGAGTACAAACTAGGACTAAGCCCTAGGATTCCTGCCCTATATTTCTTGCAATGGCATCAGTATGAGCTCCAATATTGTTAGTCAGCCTGAGCCTCTCTGATTCTCCCGAACCACTGCGTTTGTTGTGTGATAGCACAATCTCCTCCTTGTGTCTGCTGGCATGAGAGAAGTGATAGAAATGGTAGATGAGCTATCCTGAACCCAACGCACACCTCACTGTCCCTGGATAGCAACAGATCATTTATAACTCCCTCTGGGAAGTTCTTTGTCCCAAGCCCATTGCCTCCCTCACACACAACTGCTACCAAGAGGAAGAATTCTGGATTTAGTATGGCATTGTATTTTTCTCAAGAAGATTATGTTGGAACAGAGTGCTATCTCTTACACTCCCTCCTCTCCTCTCCCCTATTCTTGTCCCTCCCTTCCCATTGAAGACATCCCTTGATGTCCATTCCAGGCAAGTTCCAAGGAGCAGTAATGGCTGTCTCCACTCCTAAGCCTAAGAAAGCCCATGAAGAACCTGTGTGTCCTGACAGTATGGGGAACTTGCAATGAATTAGCTAGTACTGGTGTCTTGTCTTGGTCTGGCTACCTCCACACTCTCCAGTTGCTGAGCCTGCTTTCAATATCTCCACTTGAGTTCCTACCTCCTGACCTGGAAATTTCTGCACAAAGCAGAAAGGGATCACAAATTGGAATCAGATGTGGGAGAAGGATCATTATCTGGGATCCCTGGTTATCTGGGACCTGGGATTTTCCTGCAGGTTCCCTGACTGGGCTGACCTGTACAGAGCCAGGTGCTGATGGGGAAGGTAAACATATCTGCAGATCTAAGTGCTTATAGAGGCAGGCCAGCCTGGGGACAAGAATTACTCTGGTAGCACTGGATGTCTGGTCTGCTCAAGAACTTTGTATTTCAGATATATGGAGAACATTTCCAGGTATATAGGCAGTTTTCATGATGACACTGGGTAGGGTAAGTGGGGAAGAGCAATCTGAACTGTATTAATTATTCTTGTGTGACTCTCAGTGGCATGATTCTGTGGGGCACCGGAGCACTGCAGCAGATCAGCAAGACCCTGTCTCTAGGATCTCTGTGTTGTTCCCAGCTAACAGAGAGACAGTTTGCTAGATTAGGCATTCACCCCCATCACATAACATACTCTGCTGCTGACAGAGTACCATTCACCCTTGTAGGGACACTGCTCTCCTGCACAGAGCCAGGGTCACACAATATCAGGGACAGTTTGCTGCACAGAGCCAGATGTCTCTGAGAAAAAGAGCAAAACAATTAATGTAAGGCCATCTCACCTGGACTAGGATTTCTGCTGTATGCATCAATAAGCTGTTTACATCCTCTCTGTAGGGGAAGACACCCTGTGCAGACAGATTTGTTCTATATGAGGTCAAAATTGGCCGTAGATGGGCTAAATTGCCTGTGTGGAGGAAGGTAGGATGGAGATGAGATATTAGAGGGACATCTTGGAAATTGGACTAGGCCAAGTCTTCACTCCATATTTAGGGTTGAATATAAGTCAATATAGATATATAACTGTGTAACATAGCTCCTGTACAGCATATAGAAAATTTAACATTCATACAGTTTGGGAAGTGGTTAGAAGCCTTTCTGTTGCTTGCTTTCAGCAGGGTCAGGAAGAGGTGCTCCTGTCCAGGAGAACACTGTTTTAATGCTAAAGTCTATATAATGCGTATTAAAGGAAAATTTATTTCCTATTATTCTTGGCAACTCTCATGTCTCTGGGTTTATTTGTCTCTTGCTATATTTCCTCCAGATTTGTGGGGAAACTTGACTCCAGCCCAAATCTGTCATTTGGACCTTTTTATTCCCTGCTAACCTAGTCCTTTGCTGCCACCCTCCCTTCACTCGTGAATCACAGGTCTTCCTGGGAAGTCATTATTTTTTCTAGAGAAACATAAGATTTGCTCCAGCACTTTTTTTCCTGTGCATAGCTCTGATAGATTTTCCTGACAGTTGGTAGCTGCTGAATACAAGAATAAGTCCTCCGAGCCCATTAAATTTGTGCTGAAAACACATATTTTCACTGTGCATGTGCCATGACTTTCTGGTGGGGAATTAACATCTCCAAGTAAAATGGTAAGGTGACTGAAATAAGAGAAGAGCTGTGCTAAATATCACATGAGTGAAGAAGAATTTGTTCACTACAGCCATGTAACTCAACAATGGGAAAATTACACATCTAGGTCAAAAAGATTAGAAACATTTCCCTTTCATTGATTTTCCAACTTTTGCATAGATTCATCAGGCACTGACTGTACATCATATTTTCATTGAAAAGATAGAGCACTCAGAGATTGGGGCACTCTAGGCAGTGTGCTCATGTGCAAGCAGTGAGATCTGCATTTAGAGGATATCTCTAGAACAAAAGTGGCTGTGGCCCAAATTACCCATTAAAGTGCCTCTGACAGTTTCCCATAGGTCTTCAGGACTAAAACCCACAATGCAGGTTATTGCACAGTGCTATCCCCTAGAAGCAATGCCCCTTCCTGGCTGATGCTGTGGTACCCCTATCTTGCACTATTAGAACACAAACAGCCTCAGCCCCAGTGACTGTAGATGTTGCTCCCACCTACACAGGCCAAACCCTGCTCTGTTTTATGAGCTCTTGACCTGTGCAGTGTCCCTCTATTGGCACTTTCCACTGGCTGTGTGTGCCATCAATTTTTTGTGATTCAGTTTATTCTTCCCTTTTCTTACAGCACTGGAGTCTGCAGATGCACTTCCCTGTCTTCATTAGCACTTATTCCATACCCAGATTTACCTTCCCTGCCGTTCCAAACAGAATTGCCATGGTTGCTGGTCTCTGGATAGAGCTCTCTCTTGTAAGCCATACAGCTCCAGCTAGGTCTGCTGTTCATGCACTTGGGCTAGCCACAAAGAAAGCTGCCAGAGGCCTATTTTAGAAACATGGTCCTGCGTTTGTGGCTGATTTTCATAAAATTCTGACCTGGAACAGGAGTTAGATGTCCTGTGGTCACTTCCAACACAATGGTTGTTCCTGCTCCCTTTACTCTCATGGCTCTCCACTACTGATCAGTGTTGCCAGTTTGAAGGCTGCTGTTTGAAGGCCAGTGTTCTGATGTTTGATCCCCTGTTGGAAGCAGCTGCCATGTCACATAGAAGCTCCATGTTGCCTAAATCTTTCCCCAACCACTCACAGCATAACCAAAATATGTTGACATCAGGTGTCTCAGCTTGGAGGGATCCCTTAAGAGTGTACTTCTGTCTGGGGTGTGAGCTTGGCCTTCAAGGAGGGGACTGGTGCTTGCAGCCCATCCAAAAAAAAAGCACCCCTATTAGACATAGAATAGCTGACTGGAAACCGAAAGGGACTTAAATATTAGAGGGGGAAAAATTACAGTTGGGGTTCTTTTCCCCCAAAGATTTTAAAGGTACACAATCCTATAACATTGATTCTTGATACCACATGGTCTGACATCATTTGACAATGTACTTTCGTCCAGCTGTGAACAGTCCCTTGACTGGGGCACAGGAAATCTGAATTCCATTTCTGAATCTCTTCACTTCCTGCTCTCTGATCTTCAGCATACTGCTCCTTTCTCTCTGTCCCTTGCAATTCATAACCCCTGTAGTGCAGCAAGTTGGAATAAATTGCTACAAAATAGAGAGCTGGATTTCAGTCCATTAAAAAAAGTTATAAAAAGTTGTGTGAAACCTCACAAGGGTATTTGCTTGTCTACTTTTGCTATTAATGTAAATTATTTTTTCAAATAAAAACATTTTCAATAATATAAATTATATCACTTTATGTACTCATTGCTACTATGCTGAAGTATATAAAAAAATGAATTCATGAAAAACAATAAATTCGTTTAATGAATAAATTATCTACCAGAATGCTGTTTTGTAAATTTTACTAATATTACGGTTTCCACACAAATAGAGCCTGTCACAAATTAGACAGTAACAAAAAGATGTAATAGAGAAACATGTAATTCAATGTGTCTAACTAATAAGTAATGTCAGATCTCACCTGCTTAAATATAAAAATAAATGTACATGAAGCTATGCATTTTTTTTAAATAAATGTGGATATTGAGATCATATACCTTCCCATTTAGGATCATAGATAAAATTATGTTGAAAGTTAGCACACAGAGCTACCTTCAGAGCTAATCAGCTCACTCAGAGCCTTGTCCTGGTGAATTTTGAAAAAGTCAGCAAGGATGGAGAATCCTCAATCTGTTGCAGTGCTGCACCATGCTTAAGATGGAGAATAGTTTCCTGATGTCAGATCAGAAATTTCTTTGTTGCAGCTTTCATCTGTTGCCTCTGTTCTTTTTGCTGTGCATCTCTGAGCAATCTATGTGCCCTACAATACTGCTGCAGACATTTGAGGAAAATAGCAAGAAGAAATATTTAGTTCATACAAAGCCCGAGTTTTATTGCAAAACAAGGCATTTAAATTATTAAAATTAATTCTCTTCCTTTGGAGAAACTGTTAAAAAATGAAAAGCATGACAAAAATCAGTGGCTCAATGAAAGTGTTTGCAGTCTGTGACCCTGCAGCAGGCCACTTTTTCTATGCTCATACAGCATCTACTTTTTGTGCACTACTTTCTCACCCTGAGGTCACTTTCGATTCTCTGCCTTGGGTTTGGTAGCCTTGGGTTTCACTGTTTCACCCTTAGCTGGATATTTGCCTCTTTTGATCTGTCGCTTTTCATATTCTGTAGCTCTTGATTGCTTTCTTGGTCATGGTGGCTGCCAGTTTCTTGGCTTTCCTTGGGACTTACATTGCAGCCACAGATAATCACAGCTTCTTGGCAGTGCCAGTCAAGGACCAGGTCGTTCTTGGCTTTTGCTGCATTCTTGGCACCTTCCTCTTGCCTTGTTGAGCTTAAAGGAGCTAAAGTACCAAGTCCTCCTGTGCTGCTTTTGTCCAGGCTCCTGAGCCCTAGCCCGGTGCAGCTGTTGTCCTTCTGTACTGCACAGACTTCAGTTCCCTTTCAGAGCAGTGAGAGGAATTTTTTTTGTGCTTCTGGCAAACAGCAATTTCTTTCATAGTCAGTCCAACTGGAAACTGGGGGCTTGCAGGGTTTGGATCCTCCTGCCACCTTTCTCTGGCATCTTAGCCGATATCTCAGAGGCTGGAGAAGCAGTGGCACATGCAGCAGCAGCAGTTGTTTCAAACAAGATAGCCCGCACAGCCTACCAGTGTGATGTTTTGAATAAGATTTTGGGTTCATATTGATGCACAGGTCAGCATGATGTCTCTTGTATTGGGTGTCTCATACCTACAAAGCCTTTCCCTACTGAAGACATTCCTTTGGGATTTTCTGCTCTGACTGCTCCCTCATAGCACCAAAGTCAGATGGTATTAGGAAACACACCAGCTTCAAAATGCTTACACCTCACTAGGTGTCTTTGTCACCAAATAGCACAGATCGACTGGCACAAGCTGCACTGGACACTATTATGGATTAACAAATAAAAATTGTCTTCCACAGCCTACACTTATCCTCCAGGCTGGTCCTTGATGAGGAGGTAGGGTTCAAAAGAATTTATTTTCTGCCTGGTGCAGTGGGAACCTCACCATTCCTGAGACTCTCCATGCTGTGGTGACAAGTAATTTTCTCATCAGCTCTGCTTGAACCCAGCACTGTCATTACACACCATCTCCTCGGCTCTCATTGTCTATCAGCTGCTATTTTTGTTGTCTTCCTTTGGTTTTGCTTAGGAAAGGCATCTGAAATCTGCCTCTTTGCCATTTCTGTTCCCTAAGAGTCCCCAGGGGCACTGCTTCAGAGTCGATTTTTGCCTCCCCAAATCTGTGAGTCTTTTTAGTCTTGTCTCTCTCCAGTTTTCCAAATCAGGTTGGGACCAAGCTAGCCACCCTAAAGCAAATGTGTCTGTGCCCTACCCTACCTGTACCTACACAGAAATGATAGAAGAGATAAGTGGACCTGATGTCTGCTTGTTGAGTACAGACTGTGGAAAGAGAAATTAACTGGCTGTGTATGTGAATGTAAGAACTCTGTATTTTAGTGAGATATAGTTGGTTTTGAGCCACATCTGTGTGGGAAGCAAAAGCAATGCTACAACCAATGGGCACCAGTGAATTAAAATTTCTGGTAATAATTTATAATCAGTAATTTCCCTGGGTCTTTGTTTTCTCTTCAAATTCTTCTTCTTTCTCTTCTCCTAGGAGCTTCTACCAGGATTTTCATCCAAGCAGAACCCTTGCTTTTGGATGGAACAGGGTATCTTTAAACCCTGTGAAATTAGGTGGGAAGCTCTGAGGTTCTTGGATACCCTCTCCTGCCTGGGCAGCTAGCTCGAGCATTTCACAACTCTGACCTCACTGCTTAAAGCAGAAACTTGGGAGCCTCTCATGTGCTCATGGCTAAAGAAATAACTGATGGTAACAGTCAGCACATCCAGGCATGGAAATGCACCAGCAAGAAAGGAAGGCAGTAGAGATATCACAGCAAAGGAGGAGATTCTCACTGCATGATGAGAATCACTGTTTGCCCCCTTCTCCCTCTCTTCATTGGCCTCAGTATGGGTCTTCCATTCCTCTCCCCCAATGCCAAGAGCACTGGGCCTCCCAGAAGGGGATCAAACTGTCAGAGGCAGACCCTAGCTTTTACTGACACTTTGGCATTAGGGAGTAGAGGATAGTGGTGGCATGCCACAAGCCTTTTGGATATGGTTGGTGATGAATGAGAGCATATTAGGAACTCTGGGGGAAGGAAGACAAGAACTAGCAAGGCTATCTTGAATCTTCTGTGAATGCTTGCTTTGTTGATGAGAAAACTCCAAGATGCAAGAGCACTACTCATGAGGACTTACAACCAAGGAAACCTTGTACAACTGCAGAGTACTCAACACATGACTGCTAGACAAGGAACTTGCAACATGCTGTTCTTTAGGGAACTCCAAAGCACTTCTGTCCCAGTTTCTCCAACCAAGTACTTCTCCAAAGACAGCAGGGAAATTAAAATCAGGATTGACCACCCAGGCCACAGGTGCCAGCTTCTTTTGCACTGAGTAGCACGAGCTGCAGCGCTGCACAAACAGGAGCTAATCACAGGCAACATTGGTTTGCAAAACCATAACCACAGCTAGAA